TTCTAAAAGCTTAGATCGAGAAATTTTAATCAAATTTAGTCGAACGACATATATGAATGTTATGTTGAAAAGGTTCAACATAAGGGAATTCTATATATGGCAATATGATAGCAAGAGACTGGTAAAGTATCATGTCTTTATGTAAGACATTATGTATCATATCCCATACACTTCGCGTATAGGATCGATTACATATACTGTAATATTCGACCGTTCTGATTTTCCAAATGTCTAGGTCATTAAAAGGGAAAAAGAACCAGAACCGGATATGATTAAATAATTAAACAATTGTCAAGGATGATCTAAGGTTCGCTAAGAATTGGTCTCTAGTGGGAAGTTAGAAGTAAAGTATTGAGTGGAAGATATTGGCATTATTATTAATAGATATGATTCTATTAAGAATGAATTGTCACATGGAAAATATGGAAATATTTCCATAATGGGAGTTGGATATTAAGAATCTATGTGTAGGTTAGAAACTTTTATGTTTGAATGATGTTCAAAGGAATGTACTTTGAATGCGAGACTTTGTATCTATGGAATTGTCTTGTAACAATATCCAACAGAAAAATTTGTAATTGGCGAAGTCTTTGTGACCTTGGTACATTAACATTACAAAAGGATAATTGCATGATATGTTTACAATCCAACACATTCTAATAGTGGAATGAATTAGGTATTCTTACACTTGTATTAAGGATTGGGAATTGTGAAATAGCATCATTAAAGGTGTGTTCAATTGATCTTTTTCACAAAGTAAGGACCATAGGTAAACATTGTATGCATGCTCGGAGCATGGGATAACTATTGTTTTAATTCAAGTATTAAGTTGATTACTCGAAACATTATACAATGAATAATGTGTAATCAATATGGTGAATAAATAAAAGGTGTCTTATTTATACTCAAAGTGTTGAGGCCATATTGGATTCAATTATTCTTGTGTTTCACTTCGCATGTTTTGACTTCCCGAATAATAAGATTATTCAAACATCCATCGTCAATCATACTTTGGAAGTAGGTAATGAGGTAAGATTGTCATGAATTGGCTTGTAGATTGTCTAAAGCATTTAGACATAGTAAAAGTTTGCTACAATGTTCATGAGTATTCATGAAATAAGATTTGAGTATTGGATTAAACCCACACTCACATGAATCACTTCATGGATTTTATCACGAGTGATTGTGAGACGATAACATCTTATATTCTTGAAACTGAGTAATATGAGTTGTTGTTTATGAGTCGGTTTCACATTGATAATATGTAAGCGCATCAATAACTTGATGTTATAAAACATTTTGTTGTGTGTCATTTGATAAGTAAATAGTGCAAGCATATGAGCAATATTTGTGAGCCCCTCGATGATTTAGCGATGACAACCCTAAGTGCTTGGCCAAGCTAGGACTAATTTGATTTGTTCAATTACTCAGTCGTCATAAGTCGGAAATCAGGAAACAAAACATGAACAGAGAGAATGATTATAATCCATGTCTCAGTTCATACAATATCTTGAGATTTGAGTAATATATGATCCCTTATATAAAGGGCGTGTTACTGATAAGATCAGTGTTCAACAACAGCTTTTGAAACCTAGGATTTCTAATTCTAAAGACGTACTTGCAATAATAGTTATTAGACTTATCCAAGTGGGAGACTGTTGGATTAGGTGTCTAAGCCTATAACTATTATTGGTATGTACTTGACCTGATTATGAGCATGGTCCTTTCGCATTACCTTCACTAACAACTTGATAGGGTGACAAGAATAGAGAGAGTAGAACTTATTATATGAATAATTAATTAGCACTAAAAATGGTCTTATTAATATATTACAAGATTAATATATTATTTGGAAATCATATTATTTAATTAGTATTGATCATAAATTCATTTGGAATTAATTTGGTGAACAAAAGAGACTGATTAAATTATTGGGGACTGATATTGGAATTATCTGATAATTGTAATTTAGGCAGTGGACTCCTTATAGAAAGGATGGACGAATTCTATGGAAAGCCTATAAGGAATTCATACAAGGGGCCATCTAGAAGGGTTCCATGAATTGGTTAAGGCCTAAGCAGTCATATTAGGGTTTTATCTAAAACCCTAGCAGCCACAAGTATAAATAGACCCCATTATCACTACTAGAAAACCAGCCTTTTACGACGCTCATTGCGTGTCGTAAAAGGCTCAGACGACGCGCAAATGCGCGTCAAGGAAGGCCCTGTCATAAAGAAAGACAACGCGCATTTACGACGCTCATTTACGACGCGCATTTACGACGCGCGTTTACGACACGCAATGCGTATCAAGGAAGACCCTGTCATAAAGGAAGACGATACACATTGACGTGTTGTAACCTTACGACGCGCGTGTTAATGACACGCAATGCGTATCAAGAAAGCCATTGTCAAGAAAGGCCATGTCATAAATGAAGATGACACACATATTTGCGTATCATAATTTTAAATGTTTAAAAAAAATATTATTTATAGATTTACTAATTTTCAAATTAAATAATACATTAAAAATCTCATAATACAAAATAAAATACCATAAATAACAAAGGTAATTCATTTCACTAATATGTCAAATACAAATAACTATTCCAATAGTGAGTAAATGTTATAAAAAATGAACTCATTTATATACAATTGCATTATCTAGCTTACTATGTGCCAACAACTCTGTGTGTGTTCACTTTTGCTTGAGTCTTGTTTCCTCGAAAGCTTCTAAATCACAAACCTCTTTAAACATACTAGAGACATGATCCAATCCATGGGGTATTTTGGAAAATAGTCTGAACATTCTTGACAAATCATCAACCTGCAAGTGAAGGGTAGAAAGGGAAGAAACAAATGTGCACAACCAGTAAGAAATCTAAACACTAGAAGTTTCACATTAATTGTTGAACACTACTTTCATTTATTTTATTACGCCATTGTACTTCTAGTTTTTTCCCTTAGTATATGAATGACATTATTATAATAGGGTATTTTAAGTACAACCTTGTGATAGGAAAAAATGAAAGTAGGATGCTATAATACACAAAACATTACAAGTACAATGATAAGGAATTATTTTTACTTGTTATTGTGCAAGGTCTTAATTTGTAAAAGTTGTTTCAACTTGCGAATGATAAGGAAGAAAGGCATTGAATATTACCAAGGTATGAATTGTGGGGTCCAGGAGAAGCTTCCGGATGGTATTGAAGAGACATAAGCGTTTGTTGAGGGAAGGCAAGACCTGTACAGATTTCATTCGTAATTGTGATTCACATGATGCATGCATGGTAATGCACATGAGCCCAATCAATTTAGATTCAGATTATGTAGTTTACCTTTGTTTTTGTCAGCTTCAAGAAATAAAGTGAAAGTTGATGTTAACTTTAAGTGTATCTTCTTCTTCTGTGTCCTGTAACAGCACACACAACAGAACAAATAACAGATTTAAGTGTTTACAACATAAGGATAACTTTCGTGTGCTTTGAGCAGATTGCTTCTCTATAAAACTCTTCAAAATAATCAGTAGAGAATCACCATGTTTACGAATTAAAATTTGAAAAAAAAAATTAGACATAAGAAATTATAATCTTACTAACTCACCAAATAAATGATATACAAAATTATAATATCACTAACTCACCAAGACAGAACGTTCATGCACTTCATCAACTATGACATGAGTTATATCAGCAAAGTTTTAAGGTATTTTACAAGTTATATATTATTAATGTATACTATATTATAAATTAGCCTTTCAAGGTATTTTACAAGTATCAGATTTTAGATTATTTGCTTCTTACAAGAGACGCTAGAAATTAAATCCACACATGCAGAAAATATCAAAGAGAAATGAAATGGAATTCAATGACAAAAACTGAATTGTATTTAAACATATATAATGTTGGAATTTAAGCGGTTCCGATGGAATTCAATTCCGTCCATTTGCAACCAAACAAACATGCCATGGGATGGAATCTGGAATTCCCTTCCATCCATTACCATTAGTCAACCAAACATGCCATGAACCAGATGACCTCTAAGTATCTTTATTTAATATTAAATCAAATAAATTTATAGCAATAACCAAAACCAAAAGCAACATTTTTTTATTCAAGAATCAAGACACCTTGTGTGCTAGACCACTATGAAAAAGCTTCCCTGTAACATGAAGCTTCCGTGGTATCATACCACCCATACCCAGTGGCGGAGCCAGAGGGAATGGTTAGGGGGGTCCATTATATAATTAATATAATAATATATAAAAAAATAAATTAATAATACAATAGAATTACAACCTTGCATTTGGAATCTATTTAACCAATTCATACCACTTTTAGACTATCTTAGACTGCTTATTGTATATTTGTGTATGCAGCTGTAAGCAAAGCTATGAAGACTGCAGGGACCCAAAAGAATGAATATGTAAATACGTATAAACATTTAAGCTATATTTCCATGGTTCTAGTGAATAATCAGACTATTAATAAATATTAAATCTCAAATTAACTACCCCACTTGATTAACAATGATTAACAACTAAAACAAACAAACTTTCATTACCAAAAAAAAAAAACAAAAACAAAAACAAATTAAAAATCCCAAATTTAACTAATCAAAACTAAGAAATATACCACGCACTAATTTTTTGGGGGAATAAAAACAAAGTATGGTAAAGGAACTCATTATTACAGATATACATACTCCACAAAACTAATTTTAATTAATTGAAAAATAGAAATAAGAAAAATACCATTCGGCTAATCTAGCAGCGATTAGAGAAAGAACATGAGCAGCGGTGGTGGCTAGGCTCACTCCGGCAACGGCAAACATAGAGAACAGGGCAGTGGCTGTGGTGAATGGGGCAAGAAAACTTCTTGGGCGGCTAGGTTAGAAAAGGGAGAGAGTAGCGGGAGTGAACTAGGTTAATATATATATATATATATATATATATATATATATATATATATATATATATATATACTGTGGGACCAGCATTTAAGTGGGGTCCATGCACCCCACTTCTTCTATACTAGATCCGCCACTGCCCATACCAATGCAAGGTTGCTTATCAACTGTGTCAATCCAAAACCTTCAACAAAAAAAAAAAAAAAAAAACTATCCAATTTAGATTTTATCATTATTTACATTTTTGTTGAAGCATTCCATAAATTCAAAATCTTTTACTTAAAAGATTATTTTAACTCTATGTCTCTATCAACAAGTTTGACAATCTTACCCTTCATACTCGGAACCTATATCAGATAACTTATCACAATCGATTGTTGAAGCAATCTTTTCAGCTTCTTCCGCTGATACCCCTGTTACAATTATTAAAAAAGAAAAATGAAAAACTATATTTTAACTCTATGTATCTATCAACAATTGAAAATAAGAAGGATAACGAACCAGGGGTAAGTACATTGGGAGAGGCAGTTACAAGCTCTTTTCCCAAAATTACCCCTGAGCAAACATGCTCTGTGTACTTGAGTTTCCTTTCTAAGTCGGGTCCACCTCCAAGGTTAAGAGAGCCAATTGACTTGAGATAAGGCTTCTTTGACTCGGATTTAAATCTGTTATCTTCATATGTCCCTAACAATGCACCTATATTACTGTAATGATTCAAATTGCTATTATTATTATCCTCCTCTGGATTATTATTTGTAGAAGGTTTATTGAAAGTGTTTATAGCATCAGCAACTGAAGTTTTTACTTCATGTAAGTCTCCATTAACAGAATTACTGGATGCAGCTTTTTTAGCTGCTGCTTTCTTTTTACGGAACTCCTCAAGCTGTAAAACCAAAACATGTTGAATTGTTTTTAATATAAATGCAGTACATATATTATATTCTTTGAATGTAACTGTCCACTTTGACCTATGATCAAGATTTGGCACTATAAATGCGCATAAAGATCATACACAAGCTTCACCTTGTTATTGCAAAAGTTTGATAAAGATGCAATGAATTCATCAGGGCAGCAGTGTTGCAACCGAACAAGTAAATAAAAGATAACACCATAATTCTCTAGAAAGAAAGACTGGTGCTAACTTCTTTAATGACCTTTATATGAACAAAAAAAAAGCTATTTTATATATCACCATAATCATCTTAGTATAGTATGAATCTTTAAGAAATACTTAGATCAAAATCTGAGCATTCAGGTTGTTATTTCTTGAATGGAATATACCAGTTGCTATTGCTGAGGCAGTTGTAAGCTTCAATTCAGGAGTTAAGTCTTGTGAAGAAGCAAGAGCACACCCCAGATATCACAACATAGAATACAGAACACTGGAATAGAAGCAAACCTTCCTCCCAGACTATGGATAATGACCTAACTATAGCTTTGCTTCTAGTGAAAGGCTCTTTCACGGACTTCACCACAAACCCATTTCTTAATCCCATATTCTTCCATAAAATCTCAACATTTTCCTCGAATGATTGTGAGAACCTAATCCCGTGAGATATCCAGTCGTTTTTCTTGGCATGTGGAATGATATCATACCGAGGTTTTCTGGGAAATTTGTTTCCAAGATAACCCAAACAGTTCACGTTTCTTGGCTTTAAGGAAGATTGGAAAGCTGCCCCAACAAATGGGTTTTGAAGTCTGCTACTCCTTATCTTCACTAAAAACTCATGTCACAACTTGCAGATCAAGTATTGGGGACTCAGGACTTACTCCTAAGAGGAGAGGTCGTCATTCCAAAAAAACAAATGGAGAAGTAGAGAATAATCTTCGTACCTAATTTAGGGAATAAAAGAATCTTTAGAGATTTAATGTAAGAGAAAGAAATCTAGGGCACATACATGAAGAAGAAGAGAACAATCTTCGAACCTGATGCCTCCTCCGCTTTTTTTTCTGCATCTTGATGCTTCCGATCGTACCCTAAACCTCAGACTTTCGATCCCAAATCTGACTTGCAACCTTCGATCCACCTGTGGGAGACCTAGGGGAAGTTGATCGCCTCTATCCACCTGCCAAAAAGAGAATCGTCTTTCCGTATATTTTCGACACTTTCTCCCGATCTTGCCGCTCAACCGGACCAATGACACCGGGAAGGAAAAGGACGTCGCTCTTCACCTCATACTCGTGGATGTGCCACATCGGCTTTTCTGAGTCCGGCAAGGTTAAGAACAGTTTTTATGTTATGATGTTTTCAACTCCTATTAATCGGGCATCGGCGACTGGACGATCGTAGATCAAGCACTGTCTCATATCCTCGTTTTGATGGCGACGGAGACGGCGGCATAAATGGAAGGGGGATATCAGAGCACCAAATAGATAGACAGGGGAGGCGGGAGCGAAAAGAGTCGAATGAGTGTTTTAAAAAGCCCTAGAAATTATCCCAATGATTTTCTGATATATCAATTGTTGAGGTATACAACAGAGATGGTATCGTGATTAGGGTTTGCAGAGAAAAAGGAAGAATTGAACGAAGGGGATCTTGAAGCGGGGTATTAAAAATTTTAAGAATTTTGAGGGGATTTCATTTCCCCTTTTCAAGAACACGCGTTTTAGTAAAAATCATAAAGCGCAATCACAGAGGACGCACGTTTTAGATAATGTGCCCTCCGTGTTTTTATTTTTATTTTTACATTAGAGACTAATTTAAGGGCACGCAATAATGCGTGACCTAAATCCTCAAATTTTTTGAACAGACGACACGTTTTTATTGTCACTCACTTTTGCGTAACATAAATCAGTGAGCGTCGTGATTTGCACGTCGTGAAAGGGTCTTTTTCTTGTAGTGTACTGACGATTCTTAGCGACTCCATTAGAGGTGAAACACTTGGGGCACTACTTGGGGTACTAAGCTTTCAAGGCTCAAGGTGGTTCTTGTTATTGCTACATAACAAGAAAAGTAATGTTCTAAACCCTTTCATACACTTGAATTTCGAAATTATGTATGCTAGATTTAGGGTGTATGCTTTGGATAATTATTTGCATGTATAACTTAAGAAAAACCTACATCCAAAGCATTAGGGTTGCATGTACACCATAGGAATGTTGTAGTGCTCAAAACCCATCAACTACCTCATACGGTTTTGCACCATTTAGTCCTAGACTACCATGAACACTAAGGCCCAATCAATTACCAATATCATTTTGAAAATCATAGCCGATAGGCAAAGAAATATGGAGACAAACACAACTAACACTAGTGCTATACCACACCATCTACCCTCCCCACAGTTTCCTATAACCTTTTTGATTCTTGTTGATTCCTATGCAAATCATGTGCTTTCAGTAGTACGGGCCCATACTACCTTCCACACCGATTCATAAGCGTCCCAAGAATTGTCTCAAAGCTCCTAAGTCACTACACACGACAACTATCAACCGTAGGTACCCATGCCATTGAAGCCACACCTCTTCCTGGACTCCCCCTCTATGATTCTGCTCACTCATGAGCAAAAACTGGATCACCTTTTAGGAACTCCACCACTGGCGGGTGTAATAGCACCTCTATATGCTTTTAAAGCCACTACCAGCTGCCTAGATTCCCACATTGACTTCCTTATCTGTAAATGCTCATATAAGAACACTATAGCACTACTCTGAGGTTGCTACCAATACTCACACCCAGCCTGCTATTAGATATAAAAGAAACTTCTACTGTCGCCAACCAACTATCTTACAAATACAATTACATGCAACAAGGATTAAACAGTCTTTCGACTAAAAAATCTTGAACTATAACGGTTGGAATCAAACAAGAGCTGCACAATAGGCCAAATCGAACATTCTTAAACTATTTAATCTTTGTGGCATTTACCTTAATGTATTCTCCTAATAGTAACTAACATCAATATACGTTTCACATAGCAAAAGGACAGGAACATTTTAGTAGAAGAAAAATATGCAAAAAGGCATCATAATGATCCTTAGCCTATACAATATCCTAGATCTCTCACTGCTCATAAACCACACACAATTTTCATCTCTCCTAAGTAGGCATTCTAGCTTAAATTATAACATGCACATCATACTATTACACATATAACAACAATTCAGTTACATCATATAAAGCAAGTATGAATATTTTGGGAAATCATTTTTTAAGCTTTGGATGACTGTACACATCGCATCTTCTCTTTCTCTCTTGAAATAAATATTTTCTAAAAAGGTTTATAAAACTCTCAGATCCAGAGTTTAAGTTTGGAATCCCATGAGTGTTAATCCAAATCCCTCAAAATAGGGTTGTGATACCAACTGATAACGTCCCAAACTCCCAAATAAAATTTTCACTTTTAAAATAATAAAGCACCCACTTTAACGAAATTACATTCAGGGCAACCATTTGTTCATAAACCATTAGTCGAAAATCAGAGATAAAGAAGAAAATGCGAAAATTTGAATCATCAATCTACTGTTGTGTATGTACAGTCCTACCGTTGCAATCCGATAAGTAACTGCAAAATGTTTAATCCACAACTATAAGCACAAAGCTTAGTGAGTTGCCCAAAATACAATATACATCACAACATAATAATCAACTAGGGTTATTAGCAAACTCTGGAGACTATTAGCGGTCCTAATGGGCTAACAACACGCCATGTGGATTAACAACACACCTAGTGGGATATCAACAACGTTGGGGAGTATAACCGGTCCTTAAATTATCAGCAACTCATTTCATATAAAACAAAAACAAAAAATAAGACCCAATTGGTTGACATGAATATACTACCACACATGCAAATATAGTACGAAGACTCACCTTGAAGTGTAGAAGATAAAGTGATGATCACAAATCCAATAATCGACTCTATAAGTCACCTATGCAACAAACAGTGACCAGGTCTCAATCTACAATTCAAAATTGTAATGCCCGCAAATCCGGGCTAGCCAAATTAGAGGCAATAGGAGTCGAAAACGACTTTTCGACAAAAGATTATTTAGAACAAATAATCTTAACCAAGTTGTAGTATATGTCACAAGGTTTCCGTACATATAAAGAATGCTGAAATCCGAGTTATAACGAAGAAGTTATGACCCGTTGAAGTTTCACGACGGAACCGGCACGATACCGGGAAGCGTAAATAGTGAATTTACGTTAGAGAGAGATTTATCCTTAGCAATCTAAACGAAATTCGTAGAATATGTTAAACAAAGAACATCGATAAAAATAACGCCCAAATCTGACTTCGTATGAAGAAGTTATGATTTTTCGAAGTTTCGGACTAGCAATGTACAACCCGAAATTCGAATATTAGATCGAGCGGGTTTTAGCCGACACGACCTGAACGAGAATCGAAGATCTCGTTGAGAGTAGCGTAATGAGAAAAATATGGGCGAAAACGGATGTCGGATGAAGAAGTTATGAGGATTTAACGGACCAATCGTGTCCCGGCCCGTTAATAATATAAAATTTAAAATCGAGCCAAAATAAGCCAACGAAGTCTAAACGAAAGTTGTAGAGTACGTTCCCACCTTCACATGGATATAAAGAACGTCAAAAACAGAGCTCGTATGCGAAACTTACGAATTTTTAAAGTTGAAGCATGAAAATGCGAAATTGGTGCGAGGGTGATGACGTGGCTCGATCAGGGCCGTAGCTTGCTGGCCACGGTCTGGTCTTCGGATTTGGACACTTGGCCTCGTTACGCCTCACGTACGAAGGGAATGCCCCGCGTCTGAGTACGCCCCGCGTCGGAAGGAGGCTACGCCCAGCGGGCTTCGGATGAAGAACGTGTCGCTTCGCCCTACGCCCCGCGTCCGAGTTCGGTACGCCCAGCGTAACCTTCGGCCTTATCCTTCCGACGAATGCGAGACAGCTGGCCCGAGGTAGCACCCTTATCCGAACTACTCCCCGCGTAGTGTTGCTGTACGCCCAGCGTACGACCGAGGGCGCGCACCTATAAAAAGGCAGCGAGGGTTCTTCATTTCTCACACCATTTTTCACTTCTTTCTCTCACTAGTTTCTCTCTCTACAACCCCAAACCCCCCCTAAACCCTAGTTAAGCTCCTTAGTACCCTAAGGAAGCCCCGAGGCTCCCGGAGTCCCGAGAAAAAGGAGTTTTTCGGTTTCGAAACGCTGCTCCAATTAAGTTCCGGTTTTCGATAAAATTCGCTGTAAGTATGCTACGCTTACACAATTTTTAATATAGCTTTCAAATAATTATAGGAATGTTGTTAGGTCCTTAAAATAATTATTTGGACTATTATTATGAGATATATCGAGTATTATTAATGCTTAATAATACTCAGACTAATTAATTTGTCGCGGTTATCATTAAACTAAACCCTAGTGGTATCGTTACTAGGTTTTATCAAAGGAAAATCGTTGTGAGAGTATCGAAGCGCTGTCCGAGTGCTGAGTCACCACCTACTCAGGTGAGTGCATAGTCCCTTTCATCTTACACATAGATATGAAGTATTTTATATAAACTACGTGCTATGTGTGCATATTATCTGAATACTTGCTGTCTATCCTGGATGAACGTTTTATACATGTTTTAAAGGATTTAAACTGTATACGTATTTTATATATACGAATATGTTGGGTATGATGATGGGTAGATGAATGATGAGAGATAGAAGATAACGTGAGTATACATTGGCAGCTATAGACTTAGTGCCTATGGGACAAACACCGGTAGCTATGGACTTAGTACCTGTTAGATGTTGGTAGCTATGGATTTAGTACCTGTTGGGAATTGGTAGCTATGGACTTAGTACCTATTAGTTAGACACTGGTAGCTATGGATTTAGTACCTGTAGGAATTGGTAGCTATGGACTTAGTACCTGTTGAGCGTTGGTAGCTATGGATTTAGTACCCGATGAGTAAGATATAGCAGCTATGGAATTAGTGCTTTACGAACGAACATTGGCAGCTATGGATTTCGTGTCAGTCCTATAACTCTGGAAGTAAGGGACTTCGGAATAAACAAATGCAGGATAGACGACTCTTAGGTTAAATCCTCAAGAGTAAAGAAGATAACGGGGATGGGTAATGGGGTTAATTGTTTGATGATTAAACATAACAATTATATTATTGTGGGTTGAAAACCCTATGTACTCACCAAGTTTCCCAACCTGACCCACTCAGTTTATGTATATCACAGGTGACGAAGTGAAGTGACATTACACTGAGAGATTT